CTCAGCAAGTGCTGATTCTCAGGAAGAATGGCCACACCAAGCAGCTCAAGGACCTGTCTGGGTACCTCATTGATGGGGAGGACAGGCTCAGATAGGGGAGGTTGAAGGCAACATAGGGTAGAAGGGTTTAGAGGTAAAGACCTGGGTCTGCTTCCTAGCTCTGTGGCCTTCAGTACGTCACATAAACACTTCATGCCTTAGTTTTCCTCTCTGTAAAATGGCAGAAAGATGCCTGCCTCATGAGGCTCAAGTGAGAAAACAGGCTGTACATCCTGAGTACACGGGACCCTGCTGCCGTGTGTGGCTTCTTCTGTCACTGCTCAGGACCAGCTGGGCTCTGAGCCCGGGAACACGAGGCAGAAGGAACACGTTGCGACAGGTATGTGGGTGAAATTGTAGGTGTCCTCAGGGCTGGTCTGTGCACCTCCCTCTGCCTCCCTCCCCAAAGACCCTACCTGGATCCCAGCAGGTCTGGAGGGATGGGGCAGGGCAGGGACAAGCTCTCTCTGTACCCTTTTGTTTAGAACGGGCCTCCATCAGGCCCCAGGAGCAGAGGCAGGTTGAGAAGCTGCACTTCCCAAAGCATGCTGGGAGGGTAGTGTGGCTAGAGGAGATACTCCAGGGCCGACACCTAAATGACCCGAACCATTGCATAGCTTGCCTCTCACTTTTCCCATCAGACCCAAAGGCCCTGGAGGCTCCTGCTTTGCCTTATCTCATCCTCACCTCAAGTCCCCTTGCTGGCCATAGGATGCAGGTGCTAGAAATACTTATCCCCAGGAAGGGACCCAGGTTCTAGGCTGATCTGACTTGGTATGTAACCTGGGATGTATTACTTCCTCTCGGCTTCCATTTACCCAGAATCCACAAAATGGGGCACTCCAACCCTGCCCTACTATATCTGAGGGAGGCAGCAGTATAGAAAGGAAAGAACCCCAACTTTGGAGGCCAGCTCTGTTCCAATCCTGACACCACTGCTTGCTAGCAGTATTGGGGAGGGGGGGGGCTTCACATCTCACCACCTTCATTTCCTCAACCATAAGATGGGGGTGTTGTACCAATGTGCAGGTTGATAGCAATAAATCAAGACGAACTAGGTACAAATAGCTGACATGTCATTTATTGGCTTATTGTCTCTGTCCCCCACTAGAATGTCAGCCCCACGAGGCAAGGACTTGGTCGCGTTCACTGATACACCCTGGCACACAGTGGTGCCTGGCACTTGGTAGGAGCTCCCAAAATAATCGCCGATTGAGTAGGGAGGACATAACAGGTACTCGTTATAGGATAGCTCTCAATAGTGATTCTCTAATGTGTTAAGACAAAGAAGTTCATGGCTGACGAGAAAGGTAACTCTGGGGAGCAAGAATTCATCTTCAGGGGCCTCCCTGGTGGTACAAGGGGTTAAGCACCGCAGTATGAAGCAGTCCACAGCCTCTGCAGCACGAGTTCGATCCTCGGCCAGGGAGCAACCCACATGGTGCAGCAGACCTCTCCTGTCTCTCCCGCTGCTCCCCTCGGCAGTGTGTTTCAGTCAGTCTGCCTGTTCTGTTCCCCACTCTGTCTCTGGTGAATCCTCTGACCCCCCACATCTCTGGCCTGTACCCTAGCTCTTGTATGCATAAATAAATAAATCTTAAAAAAAAAAGAAGAATTCATCTTCAGGATTGGCATGGCCCTGCCTCCAGGCAATGGAGGGCCCCAGGGAAGCGGGTTTATCTGGACCTGGGGATGGACAGGACTTGCCCACGAGTGTCAGGCAAGAGCTGCCATGAGTGGGTGGGGGCAGGCTGGGCACGTGGTAAGCTGTGTCCGGTCTGATGGAGTCCTTTCCATGCTGACTGTGGCCGGGTGGCAGTGCAGGCCCAATGGCCAGCACAGCCGATTTTATAAGAGAAGCCGGAATCCAATGGGAAATAATCCATTTTAAGTGAAAAACACAAACAACAGCAAAGAAAGCCCATCTGCGACCCTGCGGCACAGCCCAGCCTTCCCGAGCAGACTGGTAGGAGGGAGGGACAATGCCGGAGCCCCCGGGGGTTGTTCCCAGGATCCCAGTCTCTCTAGGCGGTTTCATCCCCTGCCACGCAGGAGTCACCTGGAGAAATGCCCGTGAGCCATCCAGATCCAAAAGGCCAAGGGTGCTTCCCTGAGTCCGAGGGTTAGTGGTATATCCAGGCTTTGGGGTGCCAGCTCAGGGTAAGTCAGCAACCAGAGCGTCTGGCCACAGAGTAGTCCAGTAAATATTCGCTGGCCAAACCTCTTCCGCTGGTCTGAGCACAGCCTTGCGCCCCTGGGCACATCACGGGGCAGGCTGCGTGGCCCCACCTGCCTCCAGGGGAACCGAAAAGTCAAGAGAGATGAAAGGGACAAGGGTTTCTGAAGACTGAAAGTGCTTTACAAATGCGAGGTGTGCTCACCCTTGCTGTCACTGCTATTAGCAGGACAGTCTGGCCGGAGCAGAAGAGGGGGCCTGGGACCCAAAAAAGCAGAGAATTTACAGAGACGGCACAAGGAGGTGTCCAGATGGAGCCCCGCGCACGGAGGGATAGTGTTTCCCCGCTCCAGGCCAGACCTGGCCACGGCCTCCAGGGCAGCAGTGGGAAGCCGGGAGGTGGGGGTGTCGGGGGGAGGCAGGCCCACTGTATCTCCTTAGACAGATGGCTCCGGCAGAACACGCAGACCCCACAGGTGCTCCCGTGGATTACAGAAACTATATAAATAACATAAATATTTCTCATATATCTTAGCTATATAAATTATTCTCTTTTGCCCTAAAAACTATATATGTGAGGTAGACAAAAATTACCCTGTGAGTGTTTCCCTAAAGCTGTAGAATGAGGGGTCAGTGGTCACTGGTCCCTAGGGGACCTAGCAGGGCTGGGGTGGACCTTTAGGGGGACTGGAAGAGGAAAGGGAGCAAGAAAAGAGAAGGGAAGGAGAGGGCTGGGCAGGGAGGACCCTAGAGGCCCAGGGGTCCTCAGAGCCTGCCCCTGAGGCACTGACCTGGGCCATCAGTGTCAGGGACCAGCCATCAGCCTGGCACGTTTCCTTCTGTGACCACAGCACTACTGGTCATGGAGTTGGGGTCTAGATGGCATATTGGTGGGTCAGGTCCCCTCTTCCTGCCAGTGAGGCCTCTGTCCTCTATGCCTAGGGTTGAGCCAGGGTAGAGGCAGAGTTGGAATCTCAGAGGAGCAAGATGGTCGAGACTGGCAGAGAAAGTCTCCACACTGGGGGGGAGCAGAAGAAACTAGAAAACCAGCCCTCTGTCCTTTTCACTCTTCCTGCAGAGACGTGGGCCAGCTGCTTGGGTCAGCAGTCAGTCTGGTAAAGGGTCTCAAGTCACTTTGGCGTCTTTCTCATTAGAGCCTCCGCAGTCACAGATCCTTCCAGCATCTTGCAGGCTGCCCAACCCACAGAGCCCAAGGCAGCTCCTCCTCACCCTGGGAGCTCTCTGGAGCCCTGGAGACTTCTTCCTGGGGCTTGCATGGGAGGTTTCTGAGCATTCGACTGATTCTAGAGCTTCCTGCTTCAGCAGAGGGTCAGCGGCTCCGGGTCAGGGAGAAAGGAAGCTGACAGAGGGCGCGGCGGGGCCAGCAAAGTGGCCAAGGGCGGCCTGGAGGAGGAGGTGGCTTCCTCCTGGCTGGTGTCAGGCCCTGCTCTGGGGAACACGCAGCTCCAGCAAAGTGGCCCCTGCAAGGTCTTGGTTTTGAACCAGAGAGGCGTGGCAGGTCCCAGGGGTGTTTGTGTGTGTGCGCGCGCGCGTGTGCATGTATGCATGTACATATGTATGTACCAGCTTCTCTCTTCTCTTAGAACACAGGCCCTTGGTAGCTAGCACTGGAACTGTCTGCAGGATCAGAGGAAATTAGCATAATCACTTGTATTCCTGGGAGTGGGGTGGGGTGGGGGGAGAACCAAAGTGAAGGGCCATCAGTATGATAGGGCCCCCAAGGAGTCAGACTTAGCAAAGACTTTTCTGCACCTATACCTCCAGCCAGGACACAAGCCTCGAGGAGACAAGCAGGGGTTAAGGCCCGAAGTGAACTGAAATCACAGGTACCCAGGCCCTCAGTGTTACCTGTGCTGGTTGTGTTGGGCCTTACTGCACAGTGGGGTCCAGCCCCAGGAACTGACAAAAGCAGGCTCCCGGGGAGGCTGAGAAACTGAGCTCGCCATGTCCCCTCACAGGGCCTGTCACCCTCTTCTGGGCTAGGGTGAAAGCTTCCGTGCTCCAGGGAAAATGCAGAGGGCATCACTGTCCCCCGGGCAGCCTAGTGGCACCATCTGAGGCCCACTGGCTCCTCCGCCCCTTCTGGCCTTCAGTGGTGCTTTACCTAGCAGAGCTGGCTAGGGGTGGATAACTCAGCTCTCGAGGGAAGAACAGGCTCTGTGCAGGTACACTGGCAGGTTTTAAAAACCAATCCAGGGCACAGGGCTCCAGCGCACATATCTGACTTGGGTCTATGAAACCCATGGAGCTTTTCTTTCTCCCAGCAGCGCCTACTCTGGGCTTTCCTGGCAAAGCCACAGGGGGGTGAAGGTGCATGGACCCAAGGCTCAGGGCTCCCAGAGCAGGGCCCGAGGCTGGACCGACCCATCCCGAAGACCCCAGCCTTGGCTTCCAGCTGAGTCTGCCTCCCGGCGCTTTCCTGGCCCAGTGCTCACCTCCTAACATCCTGCTGGTTCTAGTCTGCTCACCCCAGGATCTGAGGTGACGGGATGTCCCCTCTTCTTCTCTCCAAACCCCAGGCTTCCTCTTGGGCTCCCTAGTGCCCTTCATGTCCTTTCCCTTTCTGCCTTTCTTTTCCAAGTCCCCAGGGACTCCATCTTATTGGGGGACCCACACCCCTCTTTGCTGAGTGTTGGGGAAGGGAGAGACCGTGAGGCCCAGTGGAGAGGAGGCGTGTGGCTGGCATGTAGCTCGCCGAGTGGATGTGCGCTGTGGGTACCTGTCGGACGGGACAGCTGGTGGCCTCCCGGTGGCTGGCGCCGCAGAGGTCCCGGCAGTGGCCGCTGGCAGCTGGGCACAGGCCTAGTGCTTGCAGGTGTACACGAGCTCCTCCTGCACGCACTGCTGGCACTCCACATAGCAGCACCACTGCACCTGGCAGTGGCAGGAGAAGGCCGCCAGGCGGCTCTGGGTGTCGTAGCCCCGCCCGCAGCACAGGCTGCTGCAGCTGGCCTCCCGGGAGCACACCCTGCCCGCCGTGCCCGGCGAGTACTTGCTGGGGCGGCAGAAGCTGGGCGAGTCCTCCATGTAGACCAGGTCCCCGGGTCTGGGGGCCAGGCCTTTGGGGGTGCTGCCCGGCCTGGCAGGTACCCACAATTCCAGGCGACCCAAGGCCTCGTTGGTGGCGCTGGACACCTTGACAGCCGAGTCGTAGCGCAGCTTCAGCACCTGGCCGGTCTCGCGGAATGGAGAGAGCTGCTTCCAGCAGGTGCGCACGGCGCAGGAGCCCGACACCCCGTGGCACTTGCACGTGGTCCGGAGGCCACTCTTCACAGCCTGCGGGGGGCCAAAGGGGCCTTGCGTCAGAGGCCCGGGTCCCATGGCCCCAGCCTGCCCCCACAGCACCAGCTCAGGCGGGGGAGTGGCCAGAGGATGGGAAAGAGACAGGGTGAGGGTCACCAGAGGGGGACACGTAGGACTCAAGCTGGCCCCCGTGTCACTTTTATGCAAACTAGCCGAAGACACCCCTCCTGCTGGGCAGAGCAGCCCTGTGGTCCTTGTGGGGTGGACAGCTTGTGCGGGTGGACACTTAGAGACAATGACGCCAGAACACAGAGTTCAGCTTCCTCCAGACAGGGAGCGCGAGCCTCCAGCCCTCTCATCCCAGAGGACCCAGTAGACCTGGATGCTTTTTACCCTCCAGGCCTCCCACCACTGCGTGGCCTCAGTTAAGTCCCTTTCCCTCTCTGGGCCTCTTCTGTCCTCCCCCCTGTAAGACAGAGGAGGGTTGGGGTTGTAGCAGATCAAAGTTTTCAAACTAGTTGGCTCCTAGGACATCTAGAAACACTCTTCTCTAAACATGTTCCTGCTCACTATGGCTGTACACCTGGTGCCCACCTGCCGCCCACCCAAGAGGTAGTGGGGGGATGGGTCAGTCATGATGCCAGGACCCTTCCCTCCTTCCTAGTACCTGGAAATGGCTCAGATCAGATGCACAAGGAAGGTGGTTGAGGGAATGAGATTCACCCAAGGATGGCTGCCTGTGTGCCGGGGGGCAGGGTGGGGCTTTGGCCTCCCATAGACCTGGCCAGGGCAGGGCTCGAGGCCTCCGGGGCTGTGCTCACCTTGATGCCCACGTGGGTGTTGTGGGCGTCTGCCCGGGCCCGCAGGTCTTTGCTTCCTCTCTTGGGTCCTAGGAAGTTGCTCAGGAACTTGGTGCTGTATTTGAGGTTGTCCCCGCACACGCCCCACTGCCAGGCCTGTCGGCTCTCCAGGCCGGGGGAGTCATCACAAGTGCAGCGCTCCATGCGGCCGGCGCTGCAGGCCCTGGCCAGAGTGTGCGTGAGGGCAGCTGAGGACACCGCGTACAGGAAGGCTGTCTCCTTGAAACCTGTGTCCGGACACGGGGAGGATCGGGAAGGAGAAAGAGAGTGGCTCAGGGGCTGCCGGGGCTGAGTGGGCTGAGAGGGGTGTCAACCTGGGGACAGACCTCCTTGTCACTTGCCCTTCAGGCTCAGGCCGTGCATGGCTATTTCCATGGCACTTGGAAATTGCCTGTGGAGTGTGTGCCTGGATTCCTGGGGCCCCAGGAGAGCTCTAAGTGTCTTAGACAGTCAGGGCCAAGCCTGTGGCCTCTGAGTCTTACTTCTAAGAGGAAGCAAGTTGGACTGACCCATCTCTGAGGCCCGTGATCCCCTGAAGTATGCCCTGTGGGCCTCCTGTGTCTCACAAGGCCTCTCAAATGTCATTCTCTGCAACCTCCTGATGGAGTGACCTTGGGTCTCCTGCCTGACCTGCCCAGTCTGACCATCCCACTCGTTTCAGCAGCCACTGCAACTCTTGCACTGTTGGGGTGGTGGCCACGTGGTCTGGAGGCCACCTGCTCCCTGAACCTGCTTCCCTGTGAGTTCACGGCCTCCTGCCTACTTTCCAATGTACCTGGGGTGCCGGGGACATTAGCTCCGTCGCAGACCCTCCCAGTCATGGAGGACAGCTGGTCTAGAAGGGGCTGGCTGCTCTGACACAGCATCACTGGCTTTGGGGAAAACCCACATCACAGCCCTTGCCGCTGGTGATGGAGCCGCACAGTGACCTGATGCCTCTTCTAGGCTGTGGCTTTCCAAGGGCAGATGGCATCTGGCTCGGCTCTGTACCCTCAGTGTCCAGCACAGTGGCTGGCTCATTGAGAGCCCCACCAGATGCTTAGTGGACGGCTGGCTGGGTGGAGGTGTGGAGGGAAGGAGGGAGGAAGGGAAAGGGAGGGACTGATGGTGTGATGAGCAAAGAGGCAGGAGAATGAGTGACCTCAGCATGTCTCATGTTATTCGCCGGCTGCTAACTGCCTTCAGTCCTGGGCTGCTCTGGTTTTGCAGGTTCTGTTCCTGAGTGTATGGGCACGTGTGCATGGAGGAGGCCGAGGGAAGGAACTGGGGGACCACGCATCTCATCTGTGGGCCCCTCAGGAATGGACTGTGCTCCTGCTCTCATGTCCCCCTTGCGCCTGTGTGGCCTGGGTACAGGGGTGAGGGGAGAAGGAAGGGCAGCCTCCTCCCCAGCCCCTCCCTCTGCAGACCCCTCCTCCCCAGCAAGCCTCCCCAGCTCCCTCTCCCATTCCCCTGCTCCCCAGTCCTCCCTACCTCTCTTGAGCAGGCCGGTCCTCCCCTCCAGACTGCAGTTCCAGCGCTCATGCCGGAACTGGAACTGGCACTCGAGCAGGCTGAGGTGCACAGCGTCCTGCAGGGTCTCGGCCAGGCCGGGTTCCCGGCGGCAGAGCTGCTTCTGCCGGCGGGACAGTTTCAGCAGGTCACACTGCTTCAGGTGGGCCCCACCCAGCACCGGGGCCTCCGGGGTGCCCAGCCCAGGGAAGGGCGTCAGGACCTCCCGCCCCGTCAGCCTAGAGGGTGAGAGGAAGGAGGCGAGTGACCCTCGGGGTTGTGATGGGCAGGACAGAGGGTGACAATCCCTGAGAATGTGCGGCACGTGAAGGGAAAGGGGCCTTCTCAGGGGCTTTATTTGCTGGCCTTGTGGCTCCATGGAGAGGTCCCCATTTTACAGAGTAGGGAACCAAGGTGCTTATAACAAGGGCTAGTGCCCTGAGTTTTCCAGGAGTCAAAGCCTCGGGTCTTCTTACCTCCCTATTTCACAACTTGCCCAGATAGAAAAACCATCTGGGGTGCTTATTAAAATACAGAGTTCCAGGATCCTCACTTGGCAATTATGGTTCTGTTGGTCTGGAGCGGGGCCTGAGAACCTGCATATTTCTCTGATCAGGAAATACTGTGTTTAGTTTTGGCTGCTGGAGGGGACAGCCATGGGCCCAAGTGGACACAGGCAAAGGGCTCTGGATGTTGAGAAGATGGTAGCCACATCCCTGCTATCCCTCCCCTTCCATGTGTCTCTGCCCAAGTCATTCCATGCTAACCTAACTTGCTTCCATACTTTCCAGATAGATCTTCAATCATCTGGCCACTTAGGGCTTGTTACAGTGATGCTTGTAGATTAACTGGATAGAGGGAAGGAAGCAAGGAAGGAAGGAAGGAGGGAAGGAAGCAAGGAAGGAGAGCTGAAGAACTGGATTTCCCTTGGCCATCAGGTTCAGACTCCTTATTCTACTCTATCTAAAACCTATGGGTTCTGGGGTCAGGCTGCCAAGTTCTAAACCTGACTCCTATCTCCGCAGTTGCGTAATCGTGAAGGTTTGATTGTCTTTTCTGGTAAGTACCAAGAGCAATCCTTTCCACTGCTGGGGTTGCTGGGAGCATTACAGGCAAGTGCTGACTGAGGCCTGGGACATGCTGGTTCACCTACCTGCGAGCTGGAGCTTCTCAAAGTCCTTTCCTATTTTTTTTTAATTTTTGCATGGAAGAATTGGGGTATAGACCAGAGGTGGGGGCGGGGGGCAGTGAGAGGATTCACCAGAGACAGAGTGGGGAGCAGAACAGGCGCATCTCCTGAAATACACTGATGAGGGGAATAGCGGCGAGACAGGAGAGGTCTGTTGCGCCATGTGGGTCACCTCCCTGGCTGGGGATCAAACTCAGGCTGTTTCAATGATAGCACTGAGACTTAACCCCTAGGCCACCGGGGAGGCCCAAAACTCTTTCCTCTTGCAAGATGCTTTATTCCCTAACCTGGGCAGAGTCTTCCCTTTTTCCAGAGAAGGAAGCAAAAGTTTTATGAAGCGGCAGCGACAGGCCCAGGCCACACAGCAGATCTGCAGCAAGGTAGGGCTGAGAATGAGAGCTCACCTTCCCTCTCCCCAGAAGCAATCTGTGAGATGGATCTACTAGTTCAAAATATTTGCTGTCCTGCTCCCTGGCGGCCCTCCATGTGGCAGCACGTGCATCATTCCAGGGCCTAGGCTGGAGGAAGCAGCCCCTTTCTGGAACATGCTGACCTCAAGGCCAAGGTAGAAGAGCAAAGGTAGAAGCCAGAGATGGTTCTTAAAGGTCTTGCTCAGTTGTGGCTCTCATCACTCCTGCTCGTGAGCCATGGCGAAGGCACGCTGTGGCCAAGCCTTGCGTGGTCAGAGAGGCCCATATCCCATGGAGTCAAGGGACGGCTCTCCCATTTGCAGCCACCTACCCCCAGCAGGACATCTGGCTGGGTGCCACACCCTCCATATCTACCCCAGGGAGGGTGGGATGCTGGCCAGGTCCCAGGTGCCCCTAGAAAGTGCCCGTAGATTCCAAGCCATTGGGTGCAGCCAACCTAGTGTGGAGCATATCTCTGAAACCTCCGAGCAGAGAGAGACAGATGCTATCGGGCTCCTCCTGGCCCAGCCTGGCCCTAGGCTCCCCTCCCAGACAGGGTGAGGGCAGGGACCTGTTAATGATTAATCTGGGGGCAAATGGGTAAATTTCCAGTCCACCAGGTCTACACCCAGACCCCTCCCTGCAGCCTGGCAGGAAACCCTCAGAGCTTGACCCCGCAGGTTCAGAGCAGAACCCAATGTTAACTCTAGCCGAAGAGGCCCCTCTGACAGGGTCCAGCTTGGAGGCAGCTTGGGGGCTGCAGGGATGGAAGGGGACAGCAGCCATCGCGCTCCTCCAAGGCCCTCTCTCCACACCAGGGGCTGGTGTGAGGGACAACTTGTGCTCACGCCATTCCTATATCTCACAAACTGAGATGGCCTTTGGAGCCTCTGACTGAAGATGAGAGAACAAAGGGACTGATGGGAATTTGGCCAGCCAGGCTATACAATACTCAAGGCCTATCTCAAACGCCATTTTAACAATAGTTATTATTACATCATCACAGGTACATTATATTTTTTAAAGATTTATTTAATTATACATACAAGAACCAGGGTACAGGCCAGAGTTTTTTGAGGGGTGAGCGGCTTCACCAGATACAGAGTGGGGAACAGAACAGGCAGATTGACTGAAATACACTGCTGAGGGGAGCAGCGGGCAAGTCAGGAGAGGTCTGCTGTGCCATGTGGGTCACCTCCCTGGCTGGGGATCGAACTTGTGCTGTAGTGGCTGCGGTGAGCTTCGAGCTTCATAGGTTGCATCTTAACCTCTTGTGCCACCAGGGAGGCCCCCTATATATTTAATCTATATTACATATGCTATATATTATATAATTATCTACCAAATGCTGAGGGTTTCTTACTAAGACTTTTAAATTACTATTGTCAAAATCTGTTGGGTTGACCTCCCACCTGTTCCTTTCAGCTACATGGTCACCAGCTGACCCCTGTGGACCGTTTTATCATTAGACTGTGTGACCTTGCTGCTCTGGCTTGTTGACTAGACCCATAAGAGTCACGTGACTCAAGCTGGACCAATCAGTCCTTTCCCTGGGAATTTGAAATTTGCATTAAGACAGCTTATACTTGCTTTCTCTTGCTTCCTTTCAATCACTGGATCTGTAAGTCAACATAAGCAGTGCAAGCTGATCCAAAGCAAGAGAAAGAAAATAAACCAAAGAGATGAGCAGAGGTGAGAGTAGGAATGAAAATTTGGGGAGCTCCCAGCCCCTCATCTTCCTGAGAGGTGGCTGTGCTCCTGTCTGGGACAGTCCTGCTTGCAGTTCCGCGTCAAGGCCGGGAGTTGGTTGGGCGAGCTCAGGGTGCCCAGCTGCACTTGTGAGTCAGCTCAGCAAACACCCTTTCCTCCACCAACAAGCACCTGTTTTTTTAATTTCATATAATGGACCCTGTGATTGATGCCCCAGGAGTCCAGTATAAAGTCCGTTAATTTTATTAGTGGTAATGACACTTAGTAGCGATTAATGGTCAGGAAAGGCAGCCAACCGCAGAGAGGCTCGGGCCCACAGGTTCCTGGTCTGCCCAAGGCTGCTCTCAGAGAAGCTCCTGACACTACTTGGGGGCCCGTGGGCCTGAGAAGACCCCTGGGAAAGCTTCCAGTGGTGGGATGCCCTTTTGTGTGTTGGGTTTGGGACCATAGCTCCTTTGAAGAAATAGCACCCCCACATCTACAACCCCACATCTAAGCTGTGCTAGTGAATTCTACACCTGCCCATCCCATGGCCTCTACCAGGGAAGGTTTCTTCCTGGACCTCAGAAGAACTCTAGGTGCTGCAGCAAAAGCCTGTTCCAAGTTGGTGCACATGATCCCCACCCTGGAAGAAGCCACCAATCTGGCACCCAGGCCTGAAAACACTGCCCACAGGCCTCTCTGCCAAATCTCCATTTGCCCACTGGTTAGTGTATTCCCATGGGGGTAAGATGTACAACCAGAGAAGAGCCAATGGATCCAGACAAAATTGGGGGTTTTAATGAAGACAGGCCCTGTGGACAGCTCCCACACTATCAGCCAAACGAGTGAGTGGTGTGTGATCCACAGAGCAGAGGCAAGTGGCAAGCAGGCTTGCTGACTACTCTTCTGGGCTGGGGCACAAGAAGTTTGAGCCTGGCTCCAGTGCCCTGGGCTGCCCTCATCCACCACTCTCTGGTTACACCTGCCTTGACCCCTCGGCCCCCCACTTGCCTGCTTCCAATTCCCTCCAGGCTGACTTCCAGCTCTCTTTTCCCACTAAGAAAGCAACAATCCCACATGACCAGCTCCATTCTTCTCCCTGCTCTGCCTCAGCCTGTGCCCCTCTGCACCCTCAGTCTATAGTCTCCAAGGGTGGGTCGACAATAAACCAGAAACCACCACAAAGTGAGATGCATCTGACTTCGACCTCAGAGCCATCCAGCTACTTCCCAGGCCACCTCATGGGTCCCAAGTTAAGGGTACCCCTCAGGGCCTCATCTCCCATATGTCCCTACCTTCAGATCTGCTCTGTTCCGTCCTGGCCCTTCCTCCCCTCTGCCCTCCTTTCACACTCTCCAACACTCACCCTGTCTACAGTTTTGGCTAAAGCTACCCACTCTGGGATGACCTTGAAGGAACAAAAGAAGGTTCTCCCAGGCTTTGGGAAAGCCTCCTAGGAGACTGGGTCACTGTCAGCAAGTCCCCAGGGACTATCAGACCCTGAGAAGAAATGGAGCCCACCCTAGAGCAAACCCCACCACTGGCTGGCTCATGGGGACCTTTGGGCCTGGGCCCAAGGGGCTGTTCAGGGCCTGGGCAGTCTTGTCCCAGGGCTGCGCTCACTCAGTGGTGACCTTAGAGATGCCCACTTGGCCCCTGAGCTCATCCCATCTAACAAAGACACCTGACTCGTGGGAGAATATGATGGGACCAGGCTGCCCAGGTTCAAGTCCCAGCTCCACTTCTTACTGGCTGTGCAACCATGGGTAAAGCATGTCTCCTCTGTGAAGGGAAGAGAGTAACAGTAGCTACCTCGCAGGGCTGCTGTGAGGGTTCATTTGTAAAGTGCCTGGTAGGTACACAGTGGGCTCCGCAGAAGTGTGATTGCTAAGTATCTGCTACATGCCAGCCTGTGCCAGGTGCTAGGACACAATTCTGCCCTCAAGGA